TGTGCTCCATCTGCTTGTTGGCTGATGCTGTAGCTGCCATTGCTGCTGCCCTTCACACCATTTGCCAGCAACCCAGAACCTTGTACTCATGGTGACAGGTTGGGACCAGCAGCAGCAGCCCAGCATAGCTCAGCTACCCAGCCAAGGGCTCCCTCCATTTCCTCTTCGCTTTTGCTGCTGCTCTGATGCATCATGGGAAATTCTAATATTATAAAAGCCTAAGTCTCTGTCTGTAATGCTTTATTCGCACTCTGAGTGGCTGATGGAAAAGGCCAATCAGAGTGCTCCAAGCGTGGGGGAATGCCACCATGGTTCTGAAGCCGCGCTGAGGACCGGGCAGAGGGTGGGGCCCCACCCCACTCCCTGCAAGCAGTGCCGAGGACCGGACTCCCTGCAAGAGACAGAACAGTGGCAGCATGGGGCGTTAGGTGGCGGCACTCCATCCCAGCCCCCTCCCCTGTCATTCTTGATGGGCAATTGGCTAGTAAATAAATAATTCCCTTCACTCAGTGATAAGGAGAGGAACAGGCACCAGTGGTGGCAGTAGGATTAGATCCAGCCTGCCCAGCCCAAGCACTTAAGCCAAGCAGTGTGCTGCTGCCTCCTGCTGCTGCTATTTGGCTTGTGAACTATGTAATGAGTCTCACTTGGAGAGACACACACACACATACATCCCAGGCGCTGTACACAGGGTGCAGCTGGGGTCCTGAGGTGCACAGTGCCCTGCGAGGGGGGGTTAATGGGACAGCAACCTAACTTGAGTCACTAGGAGATCTGGTACAGAAGTTCAATAGGCCTGTCCAACCTAAATTCCTTAAGTCCAACACTACATCCGTTCAGGTCTATCTTAGAACAGGTCCTGCCATTTTTAAGCCAATCTGTATGCACTGTTCTTCCATATTGTTACAGATTTAGACTGGGTTTTGGTAACTTAAACCAGTTTGCATGTAATGTCTGTACCTGGCCTTTAAGTGAAACATCTGCCAGAGCTGTGAGTAGCAGCACCTAGGGAGAAGTGCCTGCTTGTTATTCAGCTCTTGAGTTGCATGCAATTTTTACTTTCACTTCTGCTCATAGCTGCCAGAAACTGTTCTTACTGCATTTTGTGCATGCAATGCTCACTGCAATTTCCAGCAGCAGGTTTTTGGAAAGAAGTGCATGTTTTATGTGAGAAAAATAGTAATTACATTTCATTCTCATCAGATATTATCATCCATTTTACTTTTGGTGTTATTAAGTTTGCATTGCTTTGCATTATAAAGGAGGCTTTTAAAGGAAAAAAAAAACTCTGGGTTCTTGTAAATATTGAAAAAGAAGATGAAGCAGAATTGCTTCGGTCTGTCTGGAGCATTTTTAGGCTCTAGAAACAATGGTATTTACAAGCCCAGTTATCATACTGGGAAGCAACTTGTAACTCAGAAAGCAAATATTTGAGCTACAAGGGTGCCCGTAGACATGGCAAGGACATTACTCTGATGTGCTGTAATTATAGCATGTTAGAGCAGACTTGATTAATTGAATCTGCTAGAGTGTGCTTATTAGCGTGCTCCAGCAGCTTCTGTATCTGATGTATTCACTGTCCCTGCACTTGAAAATGGTGGCGGGAACAGTTTAACTAAAGCTCTTCAAATGAGCTGCCTCCCCGCTGCCATTTTGAAGTTCAGAAAGCTGAATACACAAGACATTGCAGGCGCTTTAATTAAAGCGGCTCTTAAAACCGCTGTAATTAAAGTGCCTCCCGCCTCCCCTGTTTAGCCTCACATGTGGGTGGGCCAGGAAACACGGTGAGCTGTGTTAGTTCTGTCATGTACATCATGCATCCATTAAAGCAACAATCTTTTTACTTATAATAGAAAATTTGTGTTAACTTTTTAACTTTGGCAGAAGCAATATTAACCTGCTCCCAGCGCTCTGTCTTCCATCGTACCTATAGGCTGGGGGGCAACCTTCTCAGCACCACTGAGGCAGAAAGAGATCTTAGAGTCATTGTTGACTTCAGGATGAACACAAGTCATCAGTGTGATGAAGTAGTCGGCAGAGCCAGTCGCACCTTGTTGTGCATCCGTAGGTGCTTCACAAACAGGTCCAGGGAGATGATTCTCCCTCTCTACGTGGCACTGGTTAGGCAGCAGCTGGAGTACTGTGTCCAGTTCTGGACGCTGCAGTTCAAGTGGGATGTGGACAACCTGGAGAGGGTCCAAAGAAGAGCCACTTACCTGATTGGAGGCCTGCAGGGAAGGCCCTACGAGGGAAGGCTAAGGGACCTTAACCTCTTCAGCCTCTCCAAGAGAAGGTTGAGAGAGGACCTTGTGGCAGTGTACAAATTCATAAGGGGGGAGCAACACAAAGTAGGCGATCTGTTTACCAGGGCACCCCCTGGAATAACAAGGAACAATGGCCATAAGCTATTGGAGAGTAGGTGTAGACTGGACATTAGAAAAAAGTTCTTCATGGTCAGGGTTGCCAGGATCTGGAATGGGCTTCCAAGGGAGGTGGTGCTCGCCCCATCTTTGGGAGTCTTCAAGAGGAGTCTAGACAGGCACCTGGCTGGGATCACTTGATCCCAGGTTTGGTGACCCTTTTCTTGCCTGGCAGGGGGTTGGACTAGATGGTCCACTGAGGTCCCTTCCGACCCTGGAATCTATGAATGTCAGGTTGACCACGTTTGCATCCGCAGAAGACAAGCTGAAGACAAGCTGTGCTTATGGATAGCCTCTTGATAACCTGCAGTCACAGAGATGTTTCTGTTAAATTATTGATCTGCCTGTTTCTCAAGTGCTCCTCAGACTGTTTGTGTTCTAGCTGTGGGTCTACTGTATGCAACAAACATCAATATTGGACCCTTTCTGACAGGATTACTTTAAATTTTGTTATACAAGTCCCAGTTTCCTTCACAGTTTTTCATGGAGAGGTGAGTATGGAAGCTATTCTTGTGATTTCAGCTACGGGTTATTTTATCCCATCACTTATGAGAAACTTCACAGCAAAGTAGGATTTAGGCATCTTGCATAGCTTTGTCCTTAAACATTTCAAGTACACTGAGGTTTTCTTGGTTGGTTGGTTGGTTGCTTTTAGAAGAGAAATAACAGAGAGAAGTACAAGTATTGTAATTTGGAAAGTTTTTTCACTTGAAAAGTACATTTTCATACAGAATTTAATTTACTTTTTAAAGTTTTCTTTTAACTGTATCCTTTTTTATTATAGTTCTATAAAGTTTTATCATGTTCTGAATTAACTATCTTGATACAAGAGAATTTCCACCCAGAAATTATACTGCTTAAATACTTTTTTCACTTATAATTAGTTACAGTCTGACTGAGCTAACAGTTGTGAACCAGAAATGTGTTCAAGTATCAGTCAAAGGAAGTCCTCATGAAAACATGTAAACTAATTTATATCTGCAGTCCAGGAAGCAAGGAATATTAGTAACTATGAGGTGGTAACTTCACTTTCCTCCCCTGCTTGTTGGGAGGCATAATTCCGCTCAATACGTTTAAGCCTTTCTGGTGGGAACAAGTTGCAAATATATGTAGAATTCCTTTAAAAAAAAGTGTAGTCATAATGGGTAATATTTTCTAAATCACCTTAGTACCTCATGTGTTTATAAAAATTAAGCCAAGTCTTGTTCAGTTATGAGAAGATTTGGGGTGGTTATAGTTTAAAACAGTTCCAAGGAAGCTGAATCTTTGTCAGATAATCGGGCCTTGTGTTTTAACTCAAGTACCCCAAAAAGTTTGTTTTTACATAGGCAATTGCTTTGGTTAAATGGAATTAGAGTATTTATGGATGCTAGTCAGTTGGATCTAGCTGGAAGCCCAGACATTCAGGTGCCATGCATTAATCAGCTTTGCCCATAAATTAGGCACTAGTGTTGAGAGAGATACTTTAGAAAAACAGTTTGCTGCAAAATGTATTTTCAGGTCAATCGAAATTATTTGCAAATTTGTTCTGAATTTAGCTAATACTGAAAATGACAACGAAAATGTCTTGTCCAAATGTCTCATTTTAATATTAAAATGTGAACGGTCTTAAAAAGGATTTTTATACTTAGTTTTATAAAATAGCCCAGGTATTTCATTTCAGTTTGACCAACCCTGGAATGTTTTGTTTTTCTATTTTGGTTTTTTTTCTTCTGCCAACAAAATGAAAAATCAAGTTATTCTCAGTGCTTCATGAGGCCTGTAGTCTGAAGCAGAGTTTGAATATCCCAACCTTGAAATACTCTCGACTCTGTGAAATCTTGGAATTTAAAAAGAAAATACATAAGCTGACAAAGTGTACATTTCTGTTACTTACATAAGTATATGGGTTGTGTAGGTTGCTTTTAAGTTTTAAGAGAGATATAATTATTTTTGTGCCACAGTTCCATAGTCAGCAGCTATTCCACCTCGCACTAAAATTAGGGGGAGCCACAACTATTTTCCACAAAATCTACAATAGCTGAAATGATAATGTACTAGAGAGAGCTAACTAATGTCAGTGACCATAGAAAGTTTAAAATAAAGAAGAAAGTGCCCATGTTGAAATAAGTATCATAATGAATCACAAACCTGACAGCACCATAATACGTTTTAAACTTTGGTTTCATATCATGCTAAATTCCAGGTTGATTGTTTCAAAGGCTGTGACTCTTCAGATAAGTCAGTGTGCTGTTTCAACGTCATTTCCTCTGGGGAAATTAATATCTCCTTTTCTGGTTTCTCTCTTATTTCCTTCTGTTTTGTGCTCACTTTCCAGATTGCATAATTTGGAGCTTGGCTTGGAATAGATGCTTCTAAAATGGGAAAGAACAGGATGAGAGTCCTTTTAAAAGAAAACATGGCTTGGTTTATTTTTCTAAGGACCAGCTGTTATAAGTTCAGCATGAGTGGACAGTGGTCTTAGACAAATATGGACCCCAAGAAAATCAAGGGCTCTCTCTGTCTCGCACACACATGTGCGATATAGGTGCTACAATTTTTGTGCAGTTATTTTATGCCATATGTTTTTCTCCTTCTTAGAGTAGAGAAGATAACAACTGAAAATACACCACCTCGAGAAGTGAATAATATTTCAAACCACCGGGTCTTAATAAAACCAGAAGCACAGAATAATCAGAAAAATAAAGAAGTAAGCAAAGCTGAAGAGAAGAAGGCTTTGGAAGCTGAAAAATATGGGTTCCAGAAAGTTGGACAAGACAAACCCTTGACTAAAATTAATAGTGTAAAGCTAAATTATTTGGGATCAGAATACAGGACCTTACCAACAAGCACAGTTCAGGCTGCACATTTCAAGCCAGTTCATTTAAATGGGTCTGAAAATAAAGCTGTCAATGTTATCCTGGCAGACGCTGGAGATGGAGCCCAGCACAATACAGCTCAGTCACATATGGAGTCTGAACGAGTCATGCAGAGAACTAACTCAATGCTGCAGTTGGAACAGTGGATTAAAATGCAGAGAGGAAAAGGGCAAGAAGAAGAAACAAGAGGGTAAGAGTTTGAGATTATATTTGAAACTAGACTTTCTACTAAATATTTATAGTGGTGATCTTCATTAGATACAAGAGTTGTGTAGTTAACTCCGCTACATGCACGTATGGTTGTGCATTTGGCTTTTCAATGCTGTCTTGCCTGATTGCATGCACTGGTTACCTAGATATGCAACTGAAGTGGATCTGTGAGAAGATGGTATTTAGCCTGGTAACAACTGCATTTGAAGAAGAAATGCCAAGGCAATTTTAGACTCAACACTTAGAGTTGGGAAGGGATATAAGAAATGCAGTAATTTTTTTTTATATAATTTGTAGTTGCTCCTGAACTTTACTATTGTTATATTGTGTGCCTTAAAAGATATATTAATTCATTAAAACAAAGGGAAAGCAATGATACTGACCTAAATGTTGTCCAAATTAAGTGAAATAAAGTGTAAACACCCAGCATAATTAGATTGCTCAAATGTTAATTCAATCTTAGACTTAAGTGTGCACTCATAAAATGAGTCACACAAAAAAGCAAGGGAAATCCAAAAAAAATAATAAAGGTATATAAAGCATCAAAAGTTACTTGCTCCTGTTAAAGATTAGTTTGAAGTTTGTGTGCGTCTCTAAGAAGAAGACTTGCATACCAGAGTATCTTGTGATCGTGGCATGAACATGGTGAGTAGGTAAGACCCATGAAGTGCATGGGTGTAGTTGAGACCCATGAAGTGCATGGGTGTTTGGAGTTGTGACCTGCTTTTTCCTCTTCCCCTTTCCTTTTTCCCCTTCTCTGCTCCTTTCCCAGTAGTGGGATTGTAATATCAGAAGGAAATCCATCCCTCTCCCCTCTTACCTCCTCACCTTTTCCTTTGCCTGTCTTGTCTCTGCTCTTCTCCCTCAGCTGCTGTCACCCTACGAACAGTTCATTGGTGAGTAGTGGGATTGTGTAGCATCAGAGGTAAGTGGATGATGCAGTGAAGGGAGAGGGGACCACAGGCAAGTTAAGTCCATCATATGTAGAACTAGAAGAAAATCATCTTTCATGTTAAATATCCCTCTATTCCCTGAGAGAGCTGGTCAGAAACTCCTCTCCAGGTCTATTTAGCTTCTTGCTTATAACATAGGCTTTGAACACAGTTACATGGTTCTCATTACAGTTCAAAAAGAGGGTTTATGATGAATAATAAAAAAAATCGTGATTACTCAATTTTCCTTATAAAGCCTGTTGTTTGTGAAATTGTCCAAGAACAGTGTTTCATGTGTCTGTTTTATGAACAGGGTTTTTTTTGTGGTAACATTTTTAAACCTTTTGCTTTAAAAAGAATTCTGGGCTATTTTTAATCTATGGTAGCAAAATTAGATTACATCGTTTGGAGTTGGTCATGCAGATTCACCTAAATTGATCTTCAGTTTTATTTTCTAAATATAACTATCTAAATAAATGTCTAACGCTTCCAAGATTTTAGTGAATTACAGTGCTTATCTATAAAGCTTTAAAGTGCCTCTGTGACTGGTTGGCACTATAAAATCTTGTGCCAATAGCAGTTGTTCCTCATGACAGAAATAAAAAGCCTTCCAGGATGTCTGACAGGCAACTGTAGCACCCTAAACACATAAGATCTTAATATTCAGTATACAGACTTTCTTTAAAAATTAGTTACACTCAAATATTCCAGTTTAATTTAAACTATTGAGATAATGGCACAGCAAGTGGAAGTGTTTGAAAATGATAGACTTCACCTAGGTTAGGGAATGCAGACACAAGAGGAGGCAATTGGACCTAAATAATCTACTTTCCTGGAATGTTAGGACATGTTATTGTGAATTTATAAAGATTTACTCTAGGCTCATTTATGCTTGTCAAAAATTGTTGAACAAACTAGTTCCTCCTCCCCTCTCTACTCCCATTAAATATAATTGGTATCTGCTCAGTCTCTATGGGCTCAAGTAGTCTTTCTGGGTGCACTTGTGTTGACAGTTTGATCAAGTGTAAATTAAAATTTGTACTACAGAGTGACTCTCTCGCTCTGACATTTATCACATTATGTATGCTTGGGTAATGCAAGCTTGATACGGTTGTGTGATGTAATTAGTCTTAAAATTAGAATTCAAAACTTGTGTAACTTGCAGACAGACAGTGAAACCTGAATAGCTATGTTGTTTCCAATTGTGAAGAAGCATAAAACCTTGAGAGTTCTCTCCCTTCTGGATTCTTATCGCTTCTCCATTATTATGCTGGCTGTATTCCAAAACAAACTGATTCCTTTGTAGAAGCTGTGTAGTGGAAAACATTATTAACTGGCAGCATCAGAATCCCTTTGACCATACTGAGCATTTGTTATTTAAATATGGGTGAAATTAGTAGCACAAGCAACTGTCCTGAAAAATGAGACTTTAAAGCCGACCAGAAAGGTGGAAGAAAAAGAGAGCTTATGATTTTTTTTTTTTCTTTTTCTGTTCTGGCATGCAATAAGATGGTCTAGAGTGTTTGTTTGTTTTCCTAAACAATTTTTTGTTTTTAATGGATTTTAGTGGATTTTTAATGGGTTTTTTTACACTAGAAATTCAGGTGTTGTCCAGGGTGGTGGAAGATTCTGATCTTGGAACTATTGAAATGGTGTCACCACAAAAGAATGAAATTTGAGATACCGAGAGTCGAAGGAGTTTTGTTGGATGGAAATTTAGGGTTCTGGAAAAGTAGGGCTAGAGGGAAGGTAGACCTCAGGAGGTCATCTAATCCAGTCCTGTGCTCAAAACGGGATCAACTCTATCTAAATTTGTTTTTTAATAAACCTGTTTAGTTGACTGTTTATGGTTTTGGAGAAATATACCTTTTGTTTAGAGATTCAGCATCCTCTGGCTTATGAAAAAGTTGCTTTCAATACCTATCCTTGCATACCCTACCTAGCCACCCAGTTTTTCAGCTAAAGAGAAAATCAAACTAGACTCATAATGCTTCAGAAGTTTGTTTGTTTTTAAAGAAAGCTTTACACATAATAGTCAAAAGGCACATATCTACTTTTTAAAAAAAGGATCTTTATGACACACAGTTCTTTGTAAGTAAAATGTATGATTATAGGACTTTTTAGGTTTGTGCAACATTTGATTGTAGCAATAATAGTTAAGAGTTGCTTATCATGATAGCATGAAATAGAAAAATTACTGAAGGAATATTGTTTAAAGAGTAGACTTTGATCTACCTTTGTAGTTCAAGACTGGTCAAGAAAAAAGCTCTTAAGCTCTGTATCGTCCATCCATCCATCCGTTTTACCATGTGGCATTTATATGCAAGAAACTGTATGTCCCACAGACCATGTATTTAAAAGTTTTTGAGGAAAAAAGTTTCCCAAGATCAAGCACATGCATAATAAAGGAAGACTGTTAATTAGCGATTCCACAGATTTTGCTTTTTTCTCCCTTCCTTAGAAACATTTGATTTTTTTTTACTTTTAGCTTCATGAGACCCACACAAACAAGGGAAACTATACAAGGTTTAGCAAAATTTGCTGTTCACATTTTGTTAAATATACGTGTCATTTTTTTCTGATCTTTTTGTAGACTACTTTGAGGTACTACAAGAGAATGGCTCAGTTAAGGGTTTCTCTTTCAATGATGAAAAATATGCTTGCACAGTGTATGCATTCACTGGTTGTCAGAGTGCACTTGGGTCTTTTTCTGAGCATATTTCTGACTAGAAAACTGGTCCCCTATAAAGCCCTGGATTCCTTCACTTTTTTTCCTTTTTCTTTTCAAGATCACTTAACTGATATTTTCTTCTTTACACTCGCACACAAGACAGTTTCTAGTCTAAGAATGAGAAACTTGTTTCCTAAGGCAGCCATCAGTTATCTACTTAAGGATGGAGGGCAATTTTTAATGCTTAATCTTTCTTATCTGTGGATACTTGCACCTTACAGAATTGAATCTATATAGAGAATAGCAGAACGCTCACCCACAATAACAAAATTAATATCTGGATTGGAATAGATCGTGAAGTATCCAAAATCAAATGAATGGAAGCTTATCCAAAAAAAAAAAAAAACCAACAAAAAAACTCCCTAACCTTGTAGTTTTCCTGAACGTTAAAAAATGGTGAGTCATTTGTATTGTGTGCTGTAGAGAGGTTTTGCCCAACAGCAAATTGAACAAATACTGATTTGACTTAATTGGCTTAAATCAAAGTTCTGCACTGTACTTTAGGGCTTTGGTAAGAAGGTTGGGCATGCAGGAATTGCCAGAGACCTGACAGCCTTACTTTGATTTTAGGGTTTCATTTAATATCTTCATAGTGCTAATAATTTGTAAATAAGGGTTGGTGGACTTAAATCTTCCGAAGTTTGAGAGTGTAGGCAAAAGTGTTGCATGAAGATGTTAATAATTAAATTTTTTACATGTTCAAAACTTCAAGTAGCTTCCCCCCCCCCCCCCCCCCGCCCCAAGTAATATGCCTCTAGGCCTTGAATTCCTTTTTTTTTTAATTTCAAACTCTAGAAAAAGTTCACATTACAAATAGTAAAAACTTTAACTTAGAAAGTCAGGGGGAGAAAAGGTATGTGCATTGAAATGCAAGCCCCTCCCCACCTACTTTCACCACCACCACCCCCCCTCAAAAAAAACAAAACCCAACAAGGCTTACAGGGTACCTTTACACATGCTCCAGGGTGTGGGAGGGAGCTCTTTAATTAGAGCAGCTCTCATATTAAAGTGCCTGTAGTATCTCATGTCTTCAGCATCCCGTACTACAAAATGGTGGCAAGGGCACTTTAACTAAAGCTCATCTAACAAGCTTTAGTTAAAACACCCCCACCACCATTTTGAAGTGCAGCATCACTGAATACATGAGGTGCAGAGGCTGCTGGAGTGTGCTAACTAGCACACTCCAGAAGACTCAATTAATGGAGTCTACTCTGATGCACTGTAATTACAGCATGTTGGAGCAGCATCCCCACGTGTCCACAGGCATCCACAGTGTAGGCAGTTCAAATGAAGCTCGTGTCGGAACAAGGGTGTGGAATCTATTCCCATTTCTGCTCAACTTTGGGCCAGGCAGGTTATCTTTCTGTGTGTGCTTAATTTACCAGTCTATTAAATCATGGATAATACTTGTAACCTCCCTGAGAAGTAATGAAGATTAATTCATTGGAACAGGGGTGGCCACCCTGCAGCATAAGTGCCAGAAGTGACATTGGCAGCTCCAGTGTAGCATGCAGCAGGTTGTGGAGGGGACAGGCAGCAGATTGGTCAGGAAGCAGAAAGGGCAGCAGTTTGAGCAAGGAGCACAGGGCAGGAAGCAAGAAAGGGCAAGAGATTAGGCAGGGGAAGGGTATCAGAGCAGCACTTGGAGGGTGTGGGACTAATTGGTTGCATCCTTGCCAAGAAGGTTGGCCCCCACTGCATTAGGGTTTGTAATACACTTGATGGCAACTTCCATTTGCAAAGCAGTCTAGGTAATTGTAAATATTTAGTTAATTCAACTTGGCTTCTCTATTTTTGTACCAGTTATAGGTAAATAGTTGTTAGAAACAAATTAACTTTGTTAGCACTTATTTCACTATCTGACTAACTATAGCTCTTAATGCTGTTTTATTGGTTCTTTAGTTCTCAAATACTGATTTTTTTCAGTTCCAGGATCATAGTTGATTCAAATAGTTAAATCGGTTTGGTCATAAAATGTGGTGCCTTTCAGCTTCAGGCTGTCAGTTTGAATTGTGGGTGTGACTGGAAGTTATTGATATCTGTTCTCATGTCCTGTAAGAAGAATTAAGTTTCATTTAATTTCTTCCACACTGGAAAAGTACCAATCCCACCACTACAAATGGCCTTCAATAGTAAATTTCACAATGTTCTTGGAGCAGTCATTACACAGACCAAGACATCTGGCCTAGCTTCTTGCGTGGCTGGAAACAGTCCCCCCCACCCAAACACAGTTAATGAACGTGATGATTTTTATGGACTGTTTTTCCCTGATGCTGCTTATTCTGTTTCCCAAGCTCTATGAGTCTGGGGACTCAGTTTTCAAGACTGTTTATCTGGCATTAAAAGAGGTAACTGCTGCACTGTGTGCCTCTGCCCAGTCAGGCATTAGCCCAACTTAACCCCTTGTGGGCAATATGTAGGCCACAGGCAGGCATTTGGACAGTCCTACATTAAATCATTACCATTTTTTCTGCCTTACTGTAACTGTAGTTAAGTTGAAATAAAAAGAAAGGGTATAGAGCCATATCATGAGTATCTGAAACTCCAGTTAATGAACAAAACATCTACCACCTCAGGAATTGACCCCAAATTGGCACTCCTGTACAGTAAACTGATATAGAGATTATATTGATACATATTTTGAGAGTAAACTGATCATAAAAAATGGTTTCGTTTAGAAAAGGGAAAGATATTAAAAAACGTTGCATTCCTGAAATAGCAATGTTCTTGACTATTAAAGCAAAACTCTTGTTTCAGCATTATTTCGTATCAGACGTTGCCAAGAAATATGCCAAGCCATCGACCTCAAGCTTTACCGCGGTACCCAGAAGGCTATAGAACCCTGCCAAGGAACACCAAAATGAGGCCTGAGAGCATCTGTAGCGTAATGCCATCCATTTATGACAGAACCATAGGGCCAGTAACAGCTGAAGAAAAACGGAGATCTATGCGAGATGATACAATGTGGCAACTCTATGAATGGCAGCAACGTCAGTTTTACAATAAACAAACAACTCTTACTAGACATAGTACTATAAGTAGTCCAAAAACCATGATTAATATTTCTGATCAGGCAATGCATTCAATTCCAACATCACCTTCCCATGGTTCAATAGCTGGTTTCCAAGGATATTCCCCTCAGCGCACGTACAGATCAGAAGTGTCCTCACCAGTGCAAAGAGGAGATATAACGATTGACCGTCGACACCGGGCACATCATGCTAAGGTGAAATATTCCTTGTATGTAACTAATAACATTGAGGCTGAAAATGTTCTGTTATTTGGATCTAGACTTTCCAAGTTATTCTGGGGGAATTAAGAAATTGTATTTTTAGATGCTTAAATAGGAGGGGGAGCTGCTACCTGGTATCATGCAGTAGCTGTTAAAGTGCAGCTATTATCTCTGTTATCCTGTAGGGATTCAAGTGAGCTAAATCACCCAATTTTAACCTTTAATGAAGCAGGATTAGAATTAGAGTGAAATGCTACAGTCACATTGGCAAGTTGCAGAGTACTGGTAACCTTAGTACCAGTATAATCCAGTGGTGGGCAGTTATTTGGGCCCAAGGGCCACATGGGGAATTTTGATAAGCTTTTGCAGGCCTGCTTTGCTCCCTAGGGCTGTGTGAAACAGCTATGTCTCGTTTTGATTTTGGATTCAGCCATTTCGGAGGTCAGTGATTCGTTTTGGTGTTTCAGATCACTGCTCTGTTTCAATTCATCCGAATCTGTTTCAGCGTTTCAATGCTGTTTTGGAGATTTGGATCAGCTGGGGAGAGGCAGGCACAGCTGGGTGGCTGCAGGTTGCTCCTCGAGCTGTGCCTGTTTCTCCCCAGCAGGGGGGGAGCCATGGTAAAAGCCCCCATCGCTGCTTTGCCCGGCCCCATCCCCAACTTGGGCAGCCCCAGCCTAGTCCTGGCACCAAAAAAAAAAAAGGCCTGCACTCACTGGCTGTAGCAGTGGTAATTGGGGGCTCATGGCAGAAGCCCCCCTGAGCACCACAGGGGCATGGGGCAGCTGCCACGCAGGTGCCAGGCAGGGGAGGCAATCCCCCCTGCCCTCTAGTGCCCCATGCTGTACGGGGGGGGCTCTACCATAAGCCCTCAGAACCCCCACAGCCCCTGCTACAGCTGGTGAGTGTAGGACTTAAAAAAAAAAAATAAAATAAAATAACAAGTATCAGGAGGCTGGGCTGGGCAGGGGATGGGGTCAGGCAGGGCAGCCATGGGGGCTTGTCTCATGGCTCCCCTGGCTGTGCTCAGCACAGGCTACACCAAACAAACTCAGGTGCTGGTCCGAGCTGGCAGTGGCAGCATGCTGTCATCCTGCATACAGATCTGGGGGCCCATACCCCTTTGGAGGGCTGCAGAGCTGTGCCAGACTCCTCCTGGGGGATGTGGGCCCCTGGACCTGTGCACGGAATGCCAGTAGGCTGCCGTCCCTCCCCCAGCACTGGGATTGGAAGGGACCTCAGGGACAGATTGCAGACACTGGCCAGCTACAGATGTCAATATCAGAGCAGTTCTTCTGCCCCTCTTTCCCCTTCTTAGTTTCTGTTTCCCTGAAAACCTGGCTCCAAAACATTTCCGAAACATTTCGGATGGTTTCATTTTGTTTCAGAGATGCTTTTGAGCCTTCCATTTCATTTCGGATTGGGTTTTTTCGGCACCAAAACGAGCCAAAACACTGCCGAAACACCTCCAAAACGAAACAGCTGCTGAAATTTCTACAGCCCTGCTGCTCCCACTGCCTTCAGTGGCAGCTCTTGCTCCTGATCTTGCCCCTGATGTGCCACTCTGGGCAAGCAGCTTCAGCCAGGCTTCTGCCCCAGCACACGGGGCTCTGGCTTCAGCTACCAGGAAGGCGGCCAGAAGCTGAAGCTGGAGCCCCATGAGCTGGGGCAGGAGCCACCTGGGTAAAGCTGCTCCCTTGCCAGTCCAGAACGGCAGGGACAGGAGCAGCTTCAAGGAGGCTGTTCCCAATGCAGCTGCAGCCAGCTGGGTGCTGCTCTGGTGGCTCCC